TACTCTATTCTTAAGAATTAAATGCCTTAAGCACACTTGCCTTCTTCATTACCTGCTGTCCCTGCATATGGGTATTTTTGCGTTATGCACATGGACACTCAGGTCTCTCTGCACCTAAGCACTCTGGAGTTTCTCTCTATTTAAATAATATGTTGCTTTTCTATTTCTCTGGCCAAAATGGATGACCTCATACTTATCCATGTTAAACTTCATCTGCCAAATGTTGTCCCATTCATCTAACCTATCCATATAAATTTGTAAACTTCTCACATCTTCATGGCAAACTACTTTTCACCTATTTTAGTGTCATCTGAAAATTTGGCTATCGTATTTTCAATCCCCTCATCCAAATAATATGATAGACTTAAAATAGTTGGGGCCTGAGGACAAAACTCTATGGCACCCTAAAGGTTGCCAACCAGGAAACGACACATCCATTCCATCTCTCTGCATTTTGTTGGCTCACTAATCTTCTATTCAAGCTAATAAATTACACATTTTGTGTAGCACCTTATTCAATGCCTCTGAAAGTCCAGATATATTACATCTCCAAGAGCCTCATTATCCACCTTGCTTGTCACATCTTTAAAACAAAATTCCAGCAAATAATTCAAACACGATCGATTCTTAATAAAACCACACTGACTCTGATGGATTCTGGTTTGACTATGCAAATCTCCTGTTGGAGCTGCCCATATTTGAGAGACATAAAATGGCAGACAAACTGATTAAAACAGAATTAAAAGCCTGCTCCAGCATTTAGACATAGAATTAAAAGCCTGTTCCAGCATTTAAGTGAAACAATTATACCTTTCAGAAGGGGTTATTCTGAGGCAAAAGGGAACAAAGCATGAACAACAGCTGCAAGGAGTGTTGGTAGAGACAGTCTTGATAAGAAATGCCCAGAGATAGACAGTCTGAAGATTTGTAACAAACACAGATGGACAAGTGGGACTGCGGCTCGTAGAAATCTGAAGGATGAAACAAGTTCATTAAACTACGACACGTGATTGATTACAACCTCATTATGAAAGGATGTTGTCCCATTAGGTGAAAAGAATCAGTCATAATAAGGAGAATAAATCTCAGTCCATTACACAATCAACATTACTCATCATGCATCTGTAAAAACAGCAGCTAAAGGTATTTTGCAGTAATTAGTTTTTTTAAAAAAAAACTTCATGATATTTAGAAATAAATTCTAGTTAAAGATTCTTCAGATAATCTCGGAGGTAGATTCCAACATCATTATAGATACAAGCATACAACAAGATACATTGATAACTAAAACACATTGGGGGAAAAGATTCAAACATAGATGTGAAAGTTAGTAAGCTTTTCCTGGCTTTTCCTGTAAAAAACAAATTGCTTGCAAATCATTAGCTAAAGAATGCTAACAGTAGAGGTATTTATAAAATTTTACATATAACTAACTTTATAATAGAAATTAATGTTATGAATCTTGTAGCAGTTGGTTAGAAACAGCTGATTTTATAGAACTAGGACACTGGAAAAATATAAAAGGAGTAACAAAATTTGATAGAGATAGAAAAGGAATACAATGGGCAACAGAATTCAAGCAGTCCTTAGAGATCAGCAAGTCTGGGACATGTTTGAAGGAGTACAGCCGGTAAGTTTGGAATGCGAATAGGATGCACAGAAAGATTCCAAGGCCTGGAGATTACAATGTCTGTTAAACATCATGAGATCATGGGAACCTAGGGCTGTACACAGGAGTGTCCATCACTGATTAGGTGTTTCATGGGATTGGTCCTTTGGAATAAGAGAAAGGGTGCAGTGACCATATTGAACGTGATTATTTTAAGACAAAATGTATAAAAATATTGCATTTCACTGTAAAAACCAGAGCATCATTGACCTCTCTTCCGATCTGAACTAAAGATTAAGAGACACTTAGAGAATATGAGTGGGGCAGCACAGTGGCTCAGTGGTTAGAACTGCTGCCTCACAGCACCAGGGACCTGGGTTCAATTCCACCCTTGGGTGACTGTCTGTGTGGAGTTTGCACATTCTCCCCATGTCTGCATGGGTTTCCTCCAGGTACTCCGGTTTCCTCCCACAGTGCAGGCTAGGTGAATTGGCCATGCTAAATTACCCATAGTGTTCAGGAATGTGTAGATTACAGGGGGATGGGTCTGGGTGGGATGCTCTGTGGGTCAGTGTGGACTTGTTGGCTGAAGGGCCTGCTTCCACACTATAGGGATTCTATGAAAAAGACAACTGGGTTCTAATGTCAGGGCCAGATTCAGGGGGATTTTTTGGTACCCTCCCTGCATGAACTGGAGATTGCTTGAATAAAGACTGCTGCCTGCCTCCTGAGTCTTTGTCCCTGGTCAGGGTTTGGGGAAGGCTTTACTCCAACAGATTGGTGAGCCAGCCAGGAGAATCTGCTTGAAGCTGGCATACCTTGGGCCACGACTTGGGTGAGTACGTTTATTTACCACCCTTTAAGGTAAGTGTGAGAGCTTCTGTAAGTCACGGTACAAAAAAACCTTTTTTAATTGGAGCAAGCAGGAGGAGACAGAATTACAGGTGTGGTAACAAAGGCCTGCGCTAATAAGTAAATGCAGGAGAGACAAAGGATTGTCTCAACAAAAACCCAGGGGGGATAGGGGTGCCAGCACTGGGTCAGTGCACAAGGAATGTGGATTCGCCAGGTCTACAGATAAGCACCAGTAGAGACAACAGACTGCTTCACCCATAGGCCTGTGATAACTGATAAGCACAGGAGAGACAAAGGATTGTCTCAGAACACAAAATAACTCCAGAAGAATGTCAGAAAAGGACCAGGAAAATCCTGCTGGTGTCCAGACCGATCTATTCTGCAGACTGTGTTTAAGAAAATAAAGCCTTAATTAAGGACATGAAAAGGCACAGAAAGGATTAATAATCCTTGTGGCTCTGTTTGAGCAGAATGCTGAAAAGGCTCTGAAACAAGCTAAGATAGCTGCAGTGTTCATAATTGAGAAAGAGAGAAAGGAAGACTGGCTGTCTGTGCCAGTTCACTGAAACTTGTAGAAATGTTAATTCTTTGTGGTCTGGTTTGAATGCACCTTTGTTTGTTGGTTGCTAAATGTCACGTGCGACTTGTGTATTAACAAGGTGTAGAGCTGGATGAACACAGCAGGCCAAGCAGCATCAGAGGAGCAGGAAAGCTGACTTTTTGGGCCTAGACCCTTCTTCAGAAAGGGTGTTTTATTGTGTGTTTTTGTTTCCTGGAGCTCGAGATCTGGTGATGTTTTGAAGATAAGCTTGCATTTTGGGAATCTACGGTGATTTAAAAGTGTGGTTCAAAAAGCTTGGTAAAAATTTACCATTTAGCATTGGCTCCATGATGTGTTTGGACTGAGGAAAGAATCTTGAGTAAATTTTAATTCCAGTAATTACCATGTTAGGAATTTTATTTTCAGTCCAGAAAAAGACCTCCAAATACTGTTTTAACACGAGTGAATCTTTAATTCTGGATGATAAGATTTACTCATTGTAAATATACTTTGATGTGAAAGTATGCAAGTAATAGGAAACTTGGAATTTTGGAAATACAATTCTCTTTGAACAAATTTCAGATGGTATGTTCTAAACTCTGAAAAAGCTGATAGAGGAATTAGAAAGGGCAAATCTAATAAAGGAAGTGGGCTTTTTCTTAAAGTATAACACACATTATCTTGCAGGAGGAGGAGAGACGGATGATGTAATAATGTGCAAGAGTTTACACCCCACTCCCTTTTTGAGTCCATAGCAGATCAATGCTAAATAACGCTTTCCGCTTGACAAAGAATGGATGGAGGTTATTTATTTTTCAGGATTGGAGAAGTACTGTGGAAACAGTAAAAGTATTAGGTACTAGGAATTCCAATGTATAAAAATTGTTAGTGACTTTGAGGGAATAAAACAGAACTTTGTATTTTGACAAATTTACATAGAGATATCAGGTATCTAGAATGAGTTATCAAGTAACTTATAAAAGGGACATCTCAGAGAAAGATCAAAGTGTGTTTTGTCTGAATCAAACAGAAATGTTTGACTTCTATTTTAAAATGTTATAAGGTTATGCTCCATGGACTGCAAAACTCTCCAGATCTCTGGAGTTAGATAGGTGGTATAGTTAAATTGCAAAATTGGATGATTATGAAGTAATTAAGGATGGAGAGTACTGACAGAAGAAAAACAAATTAACGAATAGGTCTCAAACATATACACTTACTTGACATAGGGATTTGTGGCTTGGAAAAGCACAAAAACATAGTTTAAATGATAAGACACTGACACATCATCGATTGAGAAACTGACCTTTAAAACAATGAAAGTAGTATTAGTGAAATGGGGCAGGAAACATAATCTGAAGATAAAACCCAATGAACATTAGAGCTGTATGGTTTCATACCATAAAACTGCAGCTAAGTAGGGTTTTGCATGTGGAAGCAGTGCCACTGTATGACACAATCATTCACAGAAATGACAAATTAAAGAAGCATATTGAAGAAGACAGATACAGATGAAGAAAGCTGGAGAAATTTTGATTCCAGTATGATGTTATTTTACTGCTACTGGGAGAAGTAATCTGTGGATTGGGAATGGGAAGATTAAAAAGAAAAAAGAGACACACACAGCTTAAGGAACCTGAATCTGGGATATATTCAATTTTAGAGCACATTATGTAAATGGATTAACAGAAAAGATAATTTAGATGATATTCTGGTAGCCTCAGTCAGGTGGCATTATCGGAAATGAAAAAACAAGTTACTTTTAAGGGGATAAGACAAGTCTTAGAACTATTTAACTATTGCAGGAACTTTGTAGAAAATTACAGTGAACTAGCTGAACTCCTGCAAGGCCTTATCAAAGGATAAGGCTAGCTTAGAGAAAATTGAATGGGGACCTGAGTAACAGACAGCCTTTGTCAAAATCAAACAGACACTGGCCTCCGCAACAACACTAGAACTCCCTGACCTGAAAAGGCTCTTTCATCTCTTTTGCAGTGAAAGTAAGGACAATCAATCTGCAGTTGTGCTGCAAAAAGACAAGCTCCGGCCTGTGGGATACTAATCAGGTAAAATGGATTCGGTCGTGATGGGACAACACTCGTGTGCTCCAGACATCCTATGTGCTACCTGGGCACTAATTACATCCTCCCTCTTTACACAACTAGGGAAGGTGATACTACACTCCCCACGTAGTGTAGTCCAGCTATTGGAATCTGGCAAATTGAGAGGTGTAACAGTTGGCGAGCCAAATGGGAAGCCTCACTGTTGCCAGGAGATAAGCACGTTGAAGTGGTTAAAGATCATAGAGAGAACCCAACAAGCTATGTGAATCAGGAAGGAGAGACACATGATTGTATCCCTCTCATAGAGCAGGAAGAAGAGAGACAGGGTCGAGTTAAGGAAGAGCTATTAGAGACGTCAGATGTGAAATGCATGTTTGTAGATGGAGCATGGAAGTATTTTGATGGTGAGACCCGGACAGGGTGGGCCATGGTTAATTTAAAAGAGGAGCTTTTAGCAAGAGAGAGGATAGAAGGATGTTGCTCCAACCAGGTAGCTGAACAAAAAGCACTTACTGCTGCCCTGCAGTTAGGGAGACGACAAAGGATTAACCTGTGCACAGGCAGTAGATGTGCCTTCAGTGTATTCCATGACTATATGATGGCATGGGCAGGTCAAAGTTATGTTGCCTTGAGTGGCAGTGTAATTCAGCAAGAGACCCTAGTCAAGGACCTAGTGGCTGCAGCAATTGAGCTAAAAGATGCAGTAGTAATTAAAACTAAAGCACACAGGTAGACTTAGACACCACAGCAGAGAGAGAATAACTATACAGACAGTGCAGCAAAAACAATGTTAGAACAGGAGGTGATAATGATATCAGCTGTGAGAGAGAGCGAGGCGTCAAAGATCATGAATGGAACATTTTAAGTTTACAAGCAGAAGCAAGTTCAGAGGAAAAAGCATTTTGCTTTAATCCATTTTGCCGCGTGAGAAGCAGATGATATTTGGAGGAAGGAAGGTAAGGTCGTCGCTCCTATGTTCTGCCAACAGGCCCTCTGCAATGTTTACCATGGACTAGCACACATAGGGAGGGATAAAATGATACAATTGATATCTAATTGCTAGTGGTGGAAAGGAATGGGAAGAGACATAGCTAAATTTTGCCAGACATGCACTGCATGTGCACAGAGCCAGGACAGGGAATTAAAATCAAAAAGAGCCATTAGGCCCATCCACAGGGACCATGGGAACACATCCAAATGGTCTTTATAGGACCACTCCCACAAAGTCAGAATAAGAAATTCTGTCTGGTCATAGTCGACCAGTTTACCAGATGGATAGAAGTTTTCTCCACAAAGGATTGTATTGCAACTTCAGTGGCAAAAGTATTGGCTGCTGAAATAATACCCAGGTGTGGGTGGTTCCCCTACAACTAGACTCAGACCAAGAGACACAATTCACATGCAAGTGCCTGAAGGAAGCATGTAAACTCTTGTGAATAACACAAAAGTATCATATCCCCTCCCATCACAGAGCTCGGGTATGTTAGACAGAATGAACAGATTGCTGAAAAATGCTCTGATCACGGCAATGGCAGGAGCAGGAGTTAAATGGATCCTATCCCTACCAGCCATTCTGATGGCCCAGAGGGTAACTCCCTTGAGGGTCACTGGACTAACACCCTTCTGGCTCATGAGGGGTCGAGCAATGACACTCCCCCAAGACCTAATCACAGGGGGAGCAGAACTGACTAGCAGCAAGGGACAAGTCTGGGATTTCATGAAATCCCTCTGTAAGCATGTACACATACTTCACGGACAGGAAAGAGACCAGCAGCTTGTCAAGGACTGGGAGTCTGAGGGATGCCCATGACAAACAGAAATTCCAACCCAGGATCAAAACTCTTGATGAAAATAATCCCAAGCAAGCGAGCCTTGATGGGGCAGCCCTCATGAGGTGATATTAACAGGTAACAGGAGCGCACTTGTTAATGAAAATGAATTGGTAAAAGGAGGCATCCTACCCAAGAAGAAGGCGGGACTTCGTCTCCACAAAGACTGTGCCGTGGTCGCTCTTACCAGTACAGTCATGGACAGATGCATCTGCAACTGGCAGATTGGTAAGGATGAAGTCAAGTGTGTTTTTTCCTCTAGTTGGTTCCCTTACCACCCACTGCAGACCCAATCTAGCAACTATGTCCTTTAGGACCCGACCAGCTTGATCATTACTACTTCTGCCAAGCCGCTGTTGCTGGTGGACATTGAAATCTCCCGGCCAGAGTATGTTTTGTGCCCTCGCCATCCTCAGTGCATCCTCCAAGTGTTGCTCAACATGGAGTAGTACGGATTTATCACCTGAGGAGGTGCGGTACGTGGTAATCAGCAGGACATTTCCTTACCCATGTTTGACCTGAAGCCATGAGACTTCATGGGGTCCAGAGTCAATGTTGAGGACACCAAGGACAACTCCCTCCCAAATGTATACCACTGTATTGCCACCTATGCTGGGTCTGCCCTGCCGGTTGGACAGGACATATCCAGGGGCCATGATAGTGGTGTCTGGGACATTGTCTGTCAGGTATGATTTCAGAGAATGACTATGTCAGGGTGTTGCCTGACTAGTCTGTCAGACAGCAATCCCAATATTGGCACTAGCTCCCAGATATTTGTAAGAAGGACTTTGCAGGGTTGATAGGGCTGTTTCCGCCATTGTCTTTTCCGGTGCCTAGGTTGATGCCAGGTGATCCGTCCGGTTTCATTTCTTTGACACTTTGTAGCAGTTGGTGCAATTGAATGGCTTGCTAGGCTATTTCAAATGTCAATTGAGAGTCAACCACTTTGCTGTTGGTCTGGAGTCACATACAGGCCAGACCAGGTAAGGATGCCAGATTTCCTTCCCTGAAGGACGTTAGTGAACCTGTAATAGTTATTCTCAGAAATCATACCTGACAGACAATGTCCCAGACACCACCATCACTGCCTCTGTATATGTTCTGTCCTATTGGCAGGGCAGACCCAGCAGAAGTGGCAACACAGTGGTATACATTCTGGATGGATTTTTCCAAAAACCGACAATGGTTTCATGATCATCAATAGATTCTTATTTCCAGATTTTTTTTATTGAACTCAAATTCCACTATGTGGGACCCCAGAACATTAGCTGAGTTTCTCCATTGCCTTCCCATGGATTCCTCCATTATCTGTGTGATTGACTTCTGTTCTTGATTCCTTCAGATTTTCTATGTAAAAATAAGATCATCTTTCATTCTTGTAAAGTCCAATGGGTATTGGATCAACCTGATCACGCACCTTCATTGCAGGATTCAGTTAAAGGAACCATCTCTGAGCTGCTTCCAATGCAACAATATACTTTCTTCATCGAGGAGACTAATGTGATCTCACTAAGATCCTGTACAGCAGCAGCAACACTTTGCCAGCCTGCTGTAAAGTTTCCACCCAGGTTAGAGCAGTCTGAGCTGTCTGGAGGAATGCACAGCATTGAACGATCATTGTCCTTTTCTACTCCACCAGCATAAAGGGAGATCTGGTGAAAATGTCATAATGACGCTTGAGAAGAACAGATAAAATGTGAGATAGGCTTTGCCAAATATCTTGCCTGAATCTACCATTAATTTCTCCAGGTTCCACAGAATCTGGTAAGGTGGAGCTTAGAAACAACAAGGAGAAGCAAACATTAGTGGGGATTGATATATTAAAGTCAATATTGCATAAAATGTTAGGCAGGTTATAAAACAGGAAATTAGATATACAGGTTTGTGGGTACCGCAGTAATAAGGGAGGAATTCAAATTGCATCTTAACTGTGTCAACCTCAGTGACTGCGAATGTTGGGAAAATAGATTTTGTGCACGTGTATGAGGTAGTTTGCTTTAACAGTATGTTGAGCACTAAGCTAGAAATCAGGCTATTTTGGATTTGGTGTTGTGTGATCAGAAGTGCTAATTGAAAACCCAGCAGAAGTGCTAATTGAAAACCTAGCTGTAAAGGAACTTTTGGGAGTAATTACCATAATATAATGAATTTTACATGATTTCTAAATACAAAACAGTTTTATTGAAAGAAATTGCTGTTATATACCTGAGTCATGTAACCCATGAGGGTATGAAGGACAAGCTGGCTTCAGTGAATTGGAAATGTACACAAAGAAGATTTCATGGAAGACAGGCAAGATTTGTTGTTTATTGAAGCACTGTAATGTGTACAATATACACATATCCCTCCAAAGTGCAAACAACAAATGGGAAAGGTGACTCAACAATTATTAACAAAAGAAGTTAAAGATTGTATTAGATCAAAGGAATTGGCTCAGAAAAATGCCAGATGTTGTAGTAAGTCATGGATTTAGAGAAATTTAGGACCCAGCAAAGGAGGACCAATAAACGGATAAGAAAATCAAAAAGAGAAAAAGAACGCAAACTAACCAGAAACATAAAGACTGCTGAAAATCTTCTATATCAATGTTTGAAAGGAAAAAATGAAAGCTAGGTCAAATGTAGAGCAATGAATATGCAGACAGGATAATTTATTGTAGAGAACTGAGAAATTACACAAAAACTAAACAGTTATCTTGTGTTTATCTTCATGGAGTAAGATCCAGAAAATCTCCCAGAAATACCAAGTGACCATGAGGCTTATGTAACTAAAGACTAAAATCATTCATGTCAATGACGAAGTAGTATTTGAAAACATAGCTGGATTGAGCATTGATAAGTCTGACGGACCAGATGTACTTCATTACCAGAATTTTGGAGGAAGCAGCAGCAGACATATTGAGTGCATTGGTGATCACTGTGTCATTTTTTGTGTACATTTTGCAAAGGCGGGAATCCATTCTGGATAACTGGAAGGTTATAAACGTAATCCGATGATCAAAGAAGGGAAGAAGGGGGAGAGTGATGACTACAGACCAGGTAACTTATCTTTGCAGAAGGGAATCTGTTGGAATTAATTATAAAGTATGTGATATTGGATATTTAGAAATTAATAGCAAAATTGAAGAAAATGATAACACATTTATGAAAGGAAAATCATAACTGACAAACTTATTTTTGGGATTATTTGAAGATGTTTTTGTAGACATAAATAATGGAGAACCAGTGAATGTGGTATAGTAGGATACTAGATCATAGAATCCCTACAGTGTGGAAACAGGCCCTTCAGCCCAACAAGTCCACACTGACCATTGGAACATCCCACCCTGACCCATTCCCTGTATAACCCACCTAATCTACACATCCCTGAACACTACAGGCAATTTAGCATGGCCAATCCACCTAGCCTGCACATCTTTGGGCTGTGGGAGGAAACTGGAACACCTGGAGGAAACCCACGCAGACAATGTGCAAACTCCACATCGACAGTCACCCAAGAGTGGAATTGAACCTGGGTCCCTGGTGCTGTCAGGCTGCAGTACTAACCACTGACCCACCGTGCCGCCCTAACTAGGTGGATACTCAGGTGGATTTTTTTAAAGAACTCACACAGTGAGTTAGTGAACAAAATTAAAGTGGAAGATATTGGGGGGAACATATGCAAATGAAAGGTAAAAGTTAGGTTTAACTTCATGTTAAGGGAATCAGAATATAGAAGTAAATATGTCCTGCAGAAGTTGCATGGAGCGTTGGTGAGACTATACCTGGATTATTGTGTATAGTTTTTGTGTCTGAATCTAAGAAAGAATGTAGTGATCACAAAGGAAGTGTAATGGGCATTCTCTAGATTAATCCCTTAGATGGCAAGGTTGCCTGATGAGGAAGCTCAGCCTGTGTTCTCGAGAGTTTCAAGAATTGAGAGGTGATCGCAGTGAAACTTAGACAATTCACACAGAAAGGATTGACTAATGCAGTAGCATGGAGAAGGTCAAGCAGGCAAGATGATGAAGAATCCCAAGATATTCTACAAGAACGTCAAGCAGAACAGAATAACCAGGGAACAATTCAGGGCCATTAGAAACCAAGGGAACAATCTGTGCGTGAAACTGGAGAACACTGTTAGATTGTTACATGAGAGCTTCATATCTGTATTACTTGAGATAAGAATGTGAGTACAGAATTCGAGAAGATGGTGTGTGAAGCTCTTGAGCAGATTGATATCAGATGCAAGCAGGGATTGATGGTTTTGACTGGTAAAAATTGGACAAATCTTCAGATCCTGATGAGTTGTATCTCAGGCTGGTATTGGAGACAAGAGTGGAATGGCCTTGACCCAAATTTTTGAGTAGATTCTAGCCACAAGGATGGTGCCAGAGGACTGTAGATCAGCTAATGTGGTTTCAATTTATAGGAACGATGGTGGAGAAAGACTTGGGAACTAATGACCAGTGAGTATCAAATCAGTGTTTGGGAAGCTATTGGGGAAAATAGGAAAGGAGAAAATTGATCTCCGTTTAGAGATGCAAAGTTAAATCAGGGATAGTTAGCATGACTTAATTAGAGGGAAGATCCTCCACAGATCCCTGAAGAAACTGGAAAGGTTAATAGTCCAGTTAAGAAGGCATGGAGGACTGTAGGCATAGTGTTCTTCATTGAAACATAGACTTTAACAGCTGAACAGGGCATTGGTTAGGCCAAGATGGAATACTGTGTGCAGTTCTGGGAGCCACATTATAAGATGAATGCAATTGCACTGTTGGGGGTACAAAGGAGAATTCATCAGTATGTTCCCTGGGATGAAATGTATGAACTACGAAGAGAGGCTGGATAAGCTCGGGTTGCTTGCCTTGGAGCAGAGAAGGCTGAGGGGGATGTAACTCAGAAGGTTAAGATTACAAGGGGTATCAACAGGGTGGATAGAAAGTAGCTGTTCCTTTTAGCCAAAAAGCCAAGAACAAAGGGGCACACTTTTAAAGTGAAAGGTTTGAGATTTAGAGAGGGTTTGAAGAGTGTTTCTCACCAAGAGGGTGTTGGGGGTCTTGAATGCACTTCCTGAGAGGGCAGTTGTGGCAGGTAACCTCACTACTGTTAAAAAAGTACTTGGACAATCACTTGAAGTGTCACAGCATTCACAGCTAGGGGCCTCTTGTGGAAAAGTAGGACTAATATAGGTCACGATAACAAAGTGTAGAGATGGAGGAACGCTGCAGGTCAGGCAGCATCAGAGGAACAGGAAAGCTGATGTTTTGGGTCAGGACCCTTACTAAAGCGTTAGCTTTCCTGTTCCTCTGATGCTCCCTGGCCTGCTGTGTTCCTCCAGCTCTAACGTTGTTACCTCTGACTCCAGCATCTGCAGTTCTTGCTATCTCTCTCGTATAGATCGTGCTGTATTTCTGACAGTATAGAGTCAATGCACCTGTGACTGTATGATTATGGAATGTCAAGCATTGAGCAGTTTAAGATAGGAATTGATGGGTTTCTGAAGAGTATATTGAAAAGGGTTACAAGAATGAACTGTAATGGCTTCTAAAAGTATGCCAATGTGAAAGGTGAAAGAAAACAAGTGTAGCTTTCTTACAGTCTGAAATCACAGAAAACAAAACAAAATCTTCCCAGCTATGCCAGGAAACCTCAGTCTGGTGAGGGAAAAAAAATGGGAATGGAATGAAATTAGTAAATAAACAGTCTTGGAGAAATTATTGGGACTGAAAGTAATGGGAGTAGATAAGGTCAACATAGATTTATGAAAGGGGAATCATATTTGAGAAACCAACTGATAGGTACATAATGGAGAAGCAATTGTTGCAACGCATTTGGATATTTCAAAAGATTTTTGATAAAGTTATGAAAGATTTTTGATAAAGTAGGTATAAAATGATGCTTTTGTTTTCTGAGTGAAGGGCTCGTGGGTATAGCAGGGATCAGTGCTTGGGTCCTCTTTGGACTGTGACAGGAAACTGGAGCACCCAGAGGAAACCCACACAGTCACAGGGAAAATGTGCAAACTCCACACAGACAGTCACTCAAGGGTGGAATCAAACCCGGGGCCCTGGCACCGTGAGGCAGCAGTGCTAAACACTGATCCACCGTGCTGCCCCAAAGTAAGGCAGTATGTCAACAGGACATTGCCAGGGAAAAAGTGTGGGAGTGGGATCACTGGCTGTTGCTAGGGGAAACAAAGGAGTTTGGGGCCACCACATGTGTTTCTAGGGGTACAGTGTGGCTGTGTGACCAATGTCTGTTGCTAGGGGAACAGCTTGCAGGTGAGTTCACAGGCTCATGCAACAGAGTGGGTGCTGGACCACCGACTGCTGAAAAGACAACAGTGTGGCTGGTGGGTTCAAGGGTGGTGCTGGGGAAAAGTGTGGTGGTGGGCCCATAGCCTATTTTTAAGGGAAGAGATTGAGCGTGGTGAAGTCAGCCAAGGTTTGCTGAGTAGTTTGGGGGTTGGGCCAGAGACTGTTGCTAGGGGAGCATAGTGGGAATGGGTCAGCAGGCCATCTCTGGGGAACTAAATTGTTGCTGGACCACTCACAGTTACTGGGAAGAAATGAGGGAGTGAGACCACTGACCGTCAGTAGGGAACAGAGTGGCAGTGATACACAGGCCACTGCTGAGGAATCCATGTGTGGGGCAAGGGGAAAAGAGGGGTAGAGTAATAGACCATTGCTAAGGGAACAGAGTATGTGTGGTACCACTGGCTGTTGCTAGGGGAAATGTGTGGGGGGTATGGCAGCAGGGCGTTGATAGAGGAACAATGGGATGGTGGGTCCACAGACCATTGCGATGGGAACAGAGGGGGTTGGGGCTGTCAGGCATTGCTAGGGGAACAGTGAAGTGGTTGATCCATAGTCCATTGCTACAGTGTTATAGTGGCCCATAATTAAGTTGATAAGATGTTGATAAGTTGATGAGTTGATAAGACTTGGGCTTTTTTAGCTAACACAAAATGGTGGAAAGGGTTTCACGGTTACATACAGCAGATGTTCACAGCTAGACTTGTAGTCTCCATATAGATATACCGGATAAGATGAGTTTCTCTGTAGGAAGAAACATTAGGGAAGTTAATCAGGCTTCTGTAATCACGCAGTTCTAAACATATAAGCATTCTAATAAGGGGCATTTTTGTAAGGCTCAGTTTAGCCACATTCCCAAGTTTGTTATTTCATGAAAAGGAAAAGGAAAGGCAAACAATAAATTAGTGCTAAAAGGTTAGTTGCATTCCATGAGCAAATGTTTATAGGCAATAAAGAGGCCAATGCATTATTAGGGAAGATAAAGTAATAAATGGTGTAAACACGACCTCCAAAAAAAACATTGACACAGGAGAAAGGTTATGAAATGAGAGGTCATGACTGGGGAAAGATAAATAATTAAAACTTAAGTGCAGATTCAGATGATTCAAACACGTGCTTGCAGCCAAAGATCAAGGGAAAAGTGACAAAGACAGATTACCAAATACAGAGTGAAGAGATGGCTATGTTGCCTAGTTGTGGAATCTAAACAAAGTTCATATATAGCTTGGTAAAGTTGTAAAGTGGTTGAATTTCATCCTCCTCAGTGGAATTTGAATAGATACTTTTATTAAGAAAAGATAATTAGTAAATGGAAATTGTTTAGAGTGGAAACAGTAAAAATTTATTAAAAATTAGACTTCAGTTTAAAATCCACTTGCAACATGTAAGTAGTAGGGGTCCCAATCTACAGTTGAAAGTCAGAAGGACTTTTGTTTGATCTCAGGTTGAAGTTCTCAATTTGTCAGCTGTGTCACAGTAACTTTATATTAGAGTTGATTTAAAGACTTTATAAAAATTGGTAGAAACTAATGTCCTTCCTAATCTGCCATACTAAAGTTAGTACAGAATTTGGAGGAGTTTTTAGTGAAAAACAACAATTTAGGCTATTGGTAAATAATACAGTGTAATTGGCAAATGTCTGGAAAGGAATAAAACTGTCAGAAGTATTGCAATATCCCAAAGATAGATGATGGAGGTATCTGTTAGACATCATGACATTATGGGAGGACACAGGACTGTCTGTAGAGTTGTCCATCATTGATTATGTGTTTAATGGATTGGATGTACAGATTAGGTGGATGTGGCTAACAATGACATCAATATTGCATGTAATTATTGTAATGTGAATGTTGTATTTCACTTGGGAACTCAGAGCATGATTGATCTTCTGATGTTGTATTTCACTGGGGAACTCAGAGCGTCATCGAACTTCTTCTGTGAAATATGATTAAAATAGAAGTT